GAGAGAAGTGTATATTTAAACAATTATATGATGCTTCACTTAGATTCAAAAAACTCTTTAAAATCTGATAAAAGCAAGCACTGGTGAGGATATAAAGCAACTGGAGCTTTCATACGCTGATGTTCTGTGTGTAAACTGGCACATTCACATTGGAAAGCAATTCGTTGGTATATCACAAAGTTACAAGTACACAAAACCCTAAAACCAGTTGTTTCACTTTTAATTGTGTACTTTAGAAATACTTGGCAATTACTAGTATTTAGAACTTAAGGAATAATTGGCCAAAATTGCCAATTACAAGAATGTTTACTGTAGCACTGTTTAAATAATAAATGTAAAAAAAAAAAAAAAAAAAAAAAGAACGGATACATTGTAACACATTGATATAAGGGAATACTCTGTCTCAGCAAAAATAAATGAGTTGAAACTACATGTACCAATATAGACAAATCTCAAAAACATAATTTGATCCCTATGATAACATTTATATAAAGTCTAAAAATACCAAATACTATGCTATAATTCACTTTGGAACCATGCATACATAGCAAAAACAAAAACAAAAACCAACCATGCATAGCTAAATACACAAACAGGATATTGGTTACCTTGGGAACCATAAGGGAGGAGAATTGGATTAAAAAGAGACATGCAGGGATTTTTTATTGTACCTAACATATTAAAGTTGGTGATTCTTTGTGCCTGGTGTGTTTCATTGTTAAAAGAACTGGAAGGCAGATGGATCAGTTGGGTATGAGGTGAACACCAATGGAAAGGTGGGAGAAGGGGATAAGTGCATAAGGAAACAATCTCACTTGGAGTAGTCTGGGAAGAAAGCCAAGTTAGTACAAGAAATGATTATCAGGTAAAAGTGATCTAGAAAGGACTCGAAATGAAAAGACAAAACTTAAAGTATGTTTGGGAACTTGGAGAGGAAATTGAGTTGAAGAGTCACGTTTTCAAAGTAAAGCATGAGGGCAAAACATCCCATAGCAGTATTTTGGAATAACTGGTAGAAAAAGAGGACATGGACTGGAGAGCAAAATCTAGTAAGGTTCAATCATTTTGTGAGTGGCTTTAGGGGAAGCATTGGAGGCTTGCTTGCCAAATTTTTGGATTCCACAAAGCTGAAAGTGAAAAGCATATATTTGACAGAATCATGATGTTTAAAACGCATAGATATTCTGGAATGAGAGCCTAAAGACAAGAATATTTTTTGCAGTGTTTAAAATGTGGCATAATACACTTCAAAAAATTTAGACTTATCTAATTACAAGTCTTGATTCAACCTGAATGCCTTAGCACGTCGCAGGACAAATGTGAACAACTGAATTGTAAAAAAGGACAGAATATTTAACAAGTATTAGTAGTTGTTCAAACAATGGGTCCAAATATTGGGCAATGATAAATTACAATAATAAATTAGGACTATTCCAGAGGAGGGTAACCAGAATGTTAAGAGTGTAGGCAGTACTTAGAAGCTTCAATGAAGCATTCTCTAACAACGTAGAAACAAGATTGTCCTTTGAGGATTAAACCAATAAAGCCCGCTAGTATGAGTGGGATTAACCAGCTACAGGCCTAAACCAAGACATTATCTTTTCATGGGTGACACTGCAAGTGAGTTAGATGTAATCTCAGGGAGGAAGGGCTGGAATGTGATTCTAACAGAGGAGGAAGAAACCTCGTCAATAATAGCATTTCTTATCCAAAGAAAGACTGAATAAACAGACTTGAGGAGAGCAACATTCTGATGTGTATGAGTTATAATTTTCATTGTAAATCAACAAATCCTTTTCTAATTTATATATTCAAGTCTTGTATTTGGATAGCATGACTTGGATAGCATTTCTCATGTACCAACAAAGTTGAGTTTTCCAGCTGTGATAGTTGAGGGTTACAACATGAGATGGTGTAACCTTTCCCTGACACAGGCTCCTTCTTTATCATGGAAAAACCCAAGGATACTAAGATGTTTAGCTGGGAGGAGACAAGCCAGAGGTGAGGCCTGGTGCTTATCTTCAAACGGTTTAAAGTTTTTCTTGTAGAAACAGAGGTTAGACTCTTTTGATTGTTGGGGGCAGAGAACAGAACAGAGACAACAGGTAGAAAGTACAAAGTAAGATTTCATCCAGCTAAGAGGAGGAACATGTTAACCATTTGAACTCCCAACAATGAAACAGCTAACATCTTTCTTTTTTTTTTTTTTTTTT